ATCCGGATTAATCCGAACAAGGTTCGGGAATTTTCTTCATAAGAAGTAGATCAAAAATACTCCCAATGGAGTATAAAATTGTCACCAGGATTCCGAAATACGACGAATCGAATCGGCAAACTTCAGTGCAATAATGAAGTGCATAAAAACCGAAATGATCCGAACAACGTTCAGATAAAATCGTGAAACAGGTGTCAGGAGCTTCCCTTCATCTTTCCCGACATGGTTCTAAAAGCCTTATATGGATCTATCACGTGACATTCAAAATGACGTTCCTATATGGTTCTATGGGCCTTATTGGCCTATGGATCTTTCGAACACGTGACCTAATACCAAATCAAAATCAAAATTTTACCTTTACCATTGGATGGGATTTCATAGAAAATATCCAAGAAAACTAAACCCTCGTGATCCTTAAATCACTTAAATTCGATCATTTTATCTTCACCCCTTGATTGAATTTTATAAAAGAAGTCATGAAAACACATCATCATGTAAGGGTTTTCACTTAAATTAGCTCGTTTCATCTTGACCCTTCAATTGAATTTCATGGAAAAATATTTTATGAAAAATATAATCATGTTATGCTTTGTATTTGAATACGACCGTTTCATCTAAATACTTGGACAATATTTCATAGAAAAGGCACTTAAAAAATATTGGATTGGATTTACAGGATTTGCCAATGTAATGTAAGTATTAGATTAACTCTCAAATAGGGTTCTATTTTAACTTTTTTTACTGAAATTATTACGAGGCAGGACTCGCTCTCTAAATACAGGGTGGGCCAAAAAACGCCACTTTTTTCAAGACACTACAACTTTTTTATTTTCCAATCTACATACCCCAAATTTTGCAGTTAGATAGTGCCAGGGGTTCTTAGTAATAATATAATGTAACAAGTCCTTCAACTTGGATTATATTTGATCTAAAAGAGGAGTTCAATTGGTCCGCCACCCTATTTGATGATATATTTTAGTTTTAGTCGCCTTGCTGATATAGCAGTATCAATGAAATGTTAGCTAAGTCTTTTCAACCTGTCTTAATTGCCAGCTTTAGTTGAGCAATTTTCTTGATTGGGTGCCTTCATACAATCTCCTGGAGACCTTTCCATACCCTATACTCACTGGGGTTTGCATCAGGGCTATTAGCTTGGTGATCATCAGGCCGTATCAGTTCAGGAACATTTTTCAAATTATGCTTATTTCTCATTGAACACCACATGTTTAGTGAGACGCTGGTGACATATTTTATTCAAGTAAAAGTGTATAATTCATGATCCATGGCTAGATAACAACCTCAAGTTTCATTTGGTATGCAAATTATAATTTTGTATCAACAATTAAAAAAGTTATAGCATTTTGAAAAAAAGTGGCGTTTTTTGGTCCACCCTGTACATGTAGCTAATAAAAATTCAACCATTGGATGTGATTTCGTTGAAAAAAAAGTATGACAAGTCCAGAATCAAATGATTTGTCCAGAACCTATTAAGATCCTGTTTTTGGTTCTTTAAAGTTTTTAGTCACCATTCCCTTGGGCATTTGTGCTTATATATTGACAATTCCTTTTTGAGCAGAGATCCTACACCAATAAATCATTAGTAGCATTTTGGATATATCTTGGGCACACGGATGGACGGGCGGCTTCTCTATCTCCCTACAAACTTCGTTCGGTGGTGTAATAACATTCGTCACACGCCTTTACTAGTTATAGTGAATTTGACTATTTAGTTCTTAAGTTTGACCATCCTATCGATATAAATTTTCACCCTCTCCCCAAAATGATGGGATTTCCATGTGATAATGACCGTTCTAGTATCTTCACTTTAATATTGTTTATAAATATTGTCTTATTGTTCTCAAGTTTTGGATTATAAAAGACGTATTGCCTGTCCGAGAATTCTGATAACTGCACTGAACAAAAATAAAGGTGTACTATACAAGTACAATGAATACGTGTACTGTAAAACTTAATGTGTTCATCATTTATTTATTGATAAATGTAAAATAAATGTTCACAGGTTAAAACAAATATTTCATATTTCTTTGAAAGTTCAAAGCCATTGTAAAGAATGTCTAGTAAAGAATGAAATGCTATATTAAAACAACTATTTCATTCTATGTTCAGGTAATACTACCATGCGCGTAGAGTCTAGTTATAAACTACCTATACCTGAAGACGGAGTCCCCGAGTACGTGCACCTTCGCACTCTATATAGTTTCGCAGACACTTTAAACAAATGTACGAGGGTTGTCCCAGAAGTAATGCACCATATGCTCTAACTTTATCAATAATTTATATTTTTCCATGAAACTTTCAGTAAATGTTCCTCAGAGACAATTTGATTATTCTACAAATTTTCATGTTGACTGATAAAACTATATTGGTGTTATAATAAAATCAAGTTGGTGAGTTTGGGTAGGGTGGGGCAGGTTATACAGTCACGTCAAAAGGAATAAAAAGTTGAAAATATGAAATAATTAATCAACAAATACCATTTTGTGTAGCTGTAAGAAGTATCCTCAAAAATACATTTTAAGATATACTAAATTACTATGAGCATATCATAGATTTAATGGATGTATATTGCACAGTGTCCCATTTCACATTTTCTCAAAATATTGCCCTTTGCATGTTATGTACATTTGATGCCTGTCAGGTCAAACACTCTTGCTAATTTCTTCCACTGTGACTTGTGGAGTTTTTGCCTCCCATGTTTGGAGTTGTCATCCAGTGTCAAATCATCTCTTTTAAATCTCTTCTGCCACCTCATAATTGTAGTTTTATCTGGTATATAATCCTTATTTACTTTCTTCATGGTAGCATAAGTTTTGCGTGGCTGTGAGTCCAAGTGAAGTATGGCCACCAAACGCAAAGCCTTCTGTTATCAGGTGAGAATTGCAGCCATTTTTGTAATTTCTTGACTGTGACTGTATTTGAATTTGTGACTATTGAAATGTGGTATTATACATCACAGTGCTAAATGTCATTATTTGTACTTGGTTAACATCACGCTGAATAAATTTAACAATTTCCCAAACATTTTGATCATTTAAAGGAAAGAAATATTAATAAACTAACACTTTTCATCTTTGAAAGCACTCTGTGAAAAACACGAACCTTTTTATAATGGTCACCGATTGACAATAATTTAATGCGAAAATTATTTGAATATGTTTTTATAACTGTTTTTGTTATAATTTTTGTTTTTAGTGCAATTGTGTTTGTTCCTTTCTACCAATTCTTGAGAATAAAATTAAACATCTTTCCGAACCGTGTTGGAACAAAATAGCATATACAACATGTTTAGACCTTTCAATATTATAGTTATACAAAAGAAAATGTGATTCATTTAAAAAAGTATTCAAAAATCCCCTTAGCATAATTACAATATTTAGAGACCTAAACACATTGTGTATATGCCATTTTGTTCCACTGAGGTTTCCTTTCATTCCGAACGTATAATACCAAGTTAAAAGAAGTACCTGGTGTGTTTTCTAAAACAATGTAGAGAAAAGTACATTTTTCAAATTAAATTGTTACCATTCAAAAGATGATCATTAAATTGACGATGTGTGAAATTTTAAGAATTTTTCCATGATTGGTTTAAGAGAAATATATGTGTCCAATTCAGTTCACCATATAATCGATACTAATCCTTTCAGTAATAATGGTTGTTTCATTGCAAGTCATAGAGTAAATTTACCTTACCATTGATCCTGTCCGGGGTACTATATCATCTCACAATTATATTGATATTGATGTAACAACTAGCAGTTGATATAATTGGACTGGTATATTTCGAAAAATGATTATTCACATCATCGAATTTATCACACGATATCATTCTATCAACTTCTTGATAAAACTGGTATCACTCAAAGTGATGTGATGTTTTATATTTAATACAAATTGTATTGCATGGGACCAGTAATGAGAATTCTAAACATTTAGATGTTCCTCAAATCAATTAATTAAAAATTAAAAAATTAACTTTACAATGAATTAATTGATCGAATCAAAAATTTAACACATTGTTAACCATAACATGAGGGACATTATACAATCAAATATTATGTAAAAACTTATTTTGCAAATTATTTTTGTGGAATTAATATCCATCAGTTGTAGAGATTAATTCATTATCCCTAACAAACAGATTAATTATCAGTATGAATGAAACTCATTTCATAGGAATTGAATAATTAGGGATTAACGCCTCGAAAATAAACGCATATAATCGGTTTTTGATTGCAAATGTCAACGTATTATTTGCTCCTGACAAGAATGTTATTCTATAGTATATGGCATTATATGTTGTTCCCTTTAAATAATACACGAATAGTATTATTAAATAAAAAAAAATCTGAAAAATACGTATTATATTTTTTTCCGCTATAATACAAAAAATAACTGCCTACTATACAGGAAAACATATTCTCTACGTTTCTCTCGTCATGAAACTTATTTAGCAGTATATTAAACATTTTATTCTATATTATTTTTACGTTTTTACCAAGTGCTATGGTCTGAAGTATTTTGCCTTTTTCAAAATATCCAGATGCGGATCTTATGACAATAGAGTTATTCTCATCTGATAATGCATCAAAAGTCATTCAACATACAAACATATTTGACTATGCTGCTCCGCTACATACTACTGTTTGAGTTTACGCATGCAGAAGCTATACGATTCTATTGAGAACATTATAAACATCGGTATAATGAAAGAAATCTTCGATTCATTCTTAGATAAGCCAATGTAAACTAGGAGATTTATCGGTATAGAGAGTAGAAGCGAGCGCTAAATCAATCAACCAATGTGGGATCATACTATGAAAGCAACATTACGTCAATACGACACTAACTTGAAACAATGCTCCAGCAAAAATGATCCAAAGAAAGGTTATAACTTAAGCTATTGGTCAATACTGACGGTGGTTAACCATACATGGAGCCATGTTTAACGTGTAGAAGACTATTCAAAGTGAGTGATACAGGGATCATTATCATTTACTTCGACAGACCGTTGGTGTCACATTCAGTTCGGTTTGAGGATGTTTAGACAAAACGTCTTATTTTTCAATCGATCTTGGATTCATTTGTTCAGTAATATTTAGGTAGAATGTGAAACTTGAGACTGTATTGGTTTCTATACAACAACATGAAGCCTGGTGTCTCCGGGGCTGATAGGAGAAGAATCGGTATACCTTGTTTAGATTGTTGCACGGAGAGAAAGGGAAAATATGACAAAAGAAAAGAAATTGACGGGAGCGCAATGGCGTTTAGTTTATGGAGTGCTGTAAAACTTGGCGGGTAAACAACAATTTAGTATTTTTATCTGATAACTGTTTCATTCAGTGTCGACATTTAAAACTAATATAGATATTTCAAACTAAAAAGTACATGTATTTAGGTACACTGTATGACGAATAAAGCAGTATTATAGGTCTAATATGTTTCTTTATCAGGATTATGGAGAGACGCGTGCAGCTTGAATAATTCAACTTCACAATGAATGATGTTGTTAATCCATCAACCGTCAAAGGTTTAAATAATGAGTTTTCTAGTAACGCTAGGGTCGAATATATGTATAGCAATGGAGTTTTTACTTTGGTTCACGACCTTATACGAAATATACATAGAGCCTAACGTAAAACGTGTTTCATGTTTTTCAATGATGATCCTATCGATGGGATGACCCTATTGGATCCGTTTGTGTAAGTGTGCATTTTCTATTATAAATGGTAGTTGCCAGGTTCCAGTATTGACGTATTGCTTATTAATGACAATACTGGACATAAGTGTAGTCCATGGTATGACTCCGAAATGGGAAGATTCCATATCACACTATAACACAGCAACATTTTAACCAATATTTAAAAATGCATGTAGTGCACAGATGTCATTATTTTTTTTAAATATCTTGTCCTGAATTCCGACTTTCGGGTCAAAATATGTCTTTCATCACATGGGTTCGAAAAACGTAAATATTTTCATCCGAATAATTTAATCATAATCTAAAAATTAGTCATGATTTTAATGTGAATTTCGGTTATTACATAAGTGTGCTTTTTAGATTTTGGTTAATTTTTCAAATATGGGCCGAGCACGAGCATATTTAACCAAATTGTGCGAAATATTTAGGCAATTTATAAATGCAAACATATTAGTTTTTTGCTATTTAGAATATTCTATTACTCGAATTTTTCCATATCATCACCAAGGGTCAAACAACAAAGTATTGTTTAATTTTCATCGCAGTTTGTTGCAGTGTATTATATCATTGGAATGTTTCTCGCTTTCTCATTGGATAAGAACCGATCACATGATTAAAAATATTAGGGTGTATTTCATTGTTTCCTGCAGTCTCCAGCCGCAGCCTAGGGTATGAGGTTCCATATCCATCCGCCAAAAGGTATGACCCCTATATAGTCCATTTAAAAACCTTTGCTTTTGTTCTTCGGGCTGCGAGAAATATACTGAGGAGGGAAAGATGAACATGTATTCACCTCAATAGAATGGAATATTTGATCTGATATAGATCTGATTCTGCCGTTCAATATATACAAGAGGAGATCAAGAAAACAAAATAAGTTACGGCACAATCACATCGGGTTCAGGTATGGAACCTCTTAATAGACACATTTCTAATTCAAGCTCGATATTAGAGACTTTTTGAGATAAATAGATGATTGAGCTTGTTGAACTCTTGCTAGGTATTCACTAAAGCATTTTTATGTCCCCATCACATAGTGGGGGCCATATTGTCGGCTTAGGCGCGTCCATCCGTCTGTCTGTCTGTCTGTCTGTCTGTCTGTCTGTCTGTCTGTCTGTCTGTCTGTCTGTCTGTCTGTCTGTCTGTCTGTCTGTCTGTCTGTCTGTCTGTCTGTCTGTCTGTCTGTCTGTCTGTCTGTCTGTCTGTCTGTCTGTCTGTCTGTCTGTCTGTCTGTCTGTCTGTCTGTCTGTCTGTCTGTCTGTCTGTCTGTCTGTCTGTCTGTCTGTCTGTCTGTCTGTCTGTCTGTCTGTCTGTCTGTCTGTCTGTCTGTCTGTCTGTCTGTCTGTCTGTCTGTCTGTCTGTCTGTCTGTCTGTCTGTCTGTCTGTCTGTCTGTCTGTCTGTCTGTCTGTCTGTCTGTCTGTCTGTCTGTCTGTCTGTCTGTCTGTCTGTCTGTCTGTCTGTCTGTCTGTCTGTCTGTCTGTCTGTCTGTCTGTCTGTCTGTCTGTCTGTCTGTCTGTCTGTCTGTCTGTCTGTCTGTCTGTCTGTCTGTCTGTCTGTCTGTCTGTCTGTCTGTCTGTCTGTCTGTCTGTCTGTCTGTCTGTCTGTCTGTCTGTCTGTCTGTCTGTCTGTCTGTCTGTCTGTCTGTCTGTCTGTCTGTCTGTCTGTCTGTCTGTCTGTCTGTCTGTCTGTCTGTCTGTCTGTCTGTCTGTCTGTCTGTCTGTCTGTCTGTCTGTCTGTCTGTCTGTCTGTCTGTCTGTCTGTCTGTCTGTCTGTCTGTCTGTCTGTCTGTCTGTCTGTCTGTCTGTCTGTCTGTCTGTCTGTCTGTCTGTCTGTCTGTCTGTCTGTCTGTCTGTCTGTCTGTCTGTCTGTCTGTCTGTCTGTCTGTCTGTCTGTCTGTCTGTCTGTCTGTCTGTCTGTCTGTCTGTCTGTCTGTCTGTCTGTCTGTCTGTCTGTCTGTCTGTCTGTCTGTCTGTCTGTCTGTCTGTCTGTCTGTCCGTACGTCCGGCAGTTTTCTGCAAAACCGCTACATATATCACCTTCAAATTTCCAGGGATAACTTATGAGTGCATACAGATGTGGATGAAATTTTTTTAACTCGATACCTACTTCTTGTCGGCCATTTTGAAGTCAAATGCTAAAATCCTTGTCTGCAAATGTTAAGAAACTTTTTTTTCTCAATTACAATAGGTCAAAAATTGATAACAAATTTGATGATTTTTTGAAAATAGTCATTTCCATGTAAAACAATGGGAAATGGTTGGCTTGGGGCAAATCAGATTCCTGGATATCTACAGTATTTAGTAATGCACCATTCAAAAGTTTGCGTGAGACCCCCCCCCCACGCGGGGAGGGTAAGGAATTTGATACTCAAAATTGCCCCCAGTGATAGGAATTTGACGAAGATTTACGTCCTGGGGGTGAGATATTTGGTTTACATGTGCCCGGGAATGGGGATTTTTGACTGAATCATTTTCGTCCAGTATACACGTTAGGATTCTCGGAATTTGCAAATGATCGGTATATTCAGTGAACTAAAGATCCCTCATTTCGGGAACAGAAGAAAATAACTCACCTTCACGTTGGGTATAGTTTCAGGGTTGGAATTACCGAGAATAATTCTAGAATAATACCGAACAGTGTCGAAATTATTGGTTTGTCAAGCTTTTTTTCGCCCTCCCTTTGAAAAAAATGCACGTCCGCGTTCTAGTTATATTTATAAGCTTGTCATGATTTAATTGATTTAATACAGATGATTAATTTAATTTAAAATCAATTTTTGAAAAAGTTTACGTTCGAACAAATTCTAATTTAATTAATTTGATATAAATGAATAAAACGGAGTACAGCACGTGTATCCCTCAACATTCACGAGATTTGTCTACTAACAAGGAAATCTGATGTTAAAAAAATAGATTTCAAATAGTGGAAAGACCCGGGGGTCGCGAATATTTGACCAGATTTATAGCTCTAAGGGTAAGGAAATTGACATATTTATTTGGCCCCGGGTGAGGAATTAGATAGACCAAATTTCTTTTTGTCAAATTCCCCATCCATGCCCGCGTGGGGGGATCTCTCGCAAATTTTTGTATGGTGCATTAATGCTTCACCAAAAATTATCTTTATATAGAAAATTGAATTGTCTAATTTTTTTGTAGTGTTAAGTTTACTTTGTGAACATTTAAGTTGCAGAGTTTCAAAGTCATTTTTGAAAAACATTTTTCGCGTCCTGTGTTTTGTCCTGTGCTATTGTTATTTTTAAAAATTAATTTTAATGTACTAAATTGTATATAGTGTCTCCTAAGCCGGCAACGGCTTGATGTACAGGAGACATGTGACACTTTAATAAACAGAATATACATCCATCCATACATACATATTTCAATGGGAGGGGTTTCTTGCCCGTTTCTTGAAAACTGTTTTTGACTTTGGAGGCCTATAACTTTGTTGAACGCGAAGAAACATATCACGTTTTTGTTAAACAAAGTTTGCAAATTCAATTTCATACCTAATTTGTATTTTTGCCAGAACTCAGATAGATGGATATTCTGTCATATGCCTTGCGACAAACCTATCAGTTCAATGTGAGGTATTCGAAATCAAGTCAATTTATATTTCCAGACCTAAAAGTATCATTTTCTTCAGAAACTATGCAAATCAAAATTCAAACATAAATATGCTTTAGCACGCAATCCAATGGGGGAGTTAGGGTTGGCAAAACTTATGGAGGAGAGTGTACATAGCTAGGCTTTAACACGTAGTTCAATGAGGGAGGTATGGTTTCCAAACTTATGGAGGGGAGTGGTACCATATTTTCGCCGTTTTAGAAAATCAACATTTTGTCCACACTTAATGGTAAGTATCTTTCCAGTTTGTATTCATTTTTATATAATTTCTAAGTTTCCTATTTTAGAGTATGGCTCTACCGGTCTGTAGTGTTGTATTTGATGATTTAAAAATCTACATTTTGCTGCTAAAGTTGGATCTAATCATCTTGATCCAACTTTGCTAAAATATTGAAAGTCAACCTTTTTGAAAAATGTCTCAAACAACTTTTAAGCCATGAAAATTACTGATTGAACAACAAATCCCATTCATTAAAACACAAATAGTCCATGGTATGACTTCCGAATATGAAGGATCCGTAGCACCCTATAGTGCAGCAACATTTGAAGCAATATTTATGAAGGTGTACATGTCTTGATTCTTTTAAAATACCATTTGCTGAAAAAACTTCCGGCTTTCGGGTCGAAAATCGTCTTTCATCACAAGGGGTCAAAAAACGTAAATATTTTGATTCTAACTTTTATACATTTTATAAGACACAGACCGTTTTTCTAAGCATACGAACAAAAATAAATTATCATAACTTAAAAATATACTATTTAATTTTACCGTAGATGTCGGTGTTTAATTGGTGTAATTATGCAAGTGTGTTTTTCAGATTTTGTTTGATTTTTCAAATATGAGCCAAGCCGATTCACCAATATTATGTGCAATATTTAGGTAATTTATGATTGGGAACATATTAGTTTTCTTACCATTTAAAACATTTTATTACCAGAATTTTTCCATATAATCGCAAGGGGTCTAATAGCA